AGATATTAAGTTTTATATATACATGCATGTATTTCATTATTTCGTTTTCGAATGGGCACTGCGTGAAAGCTAATCTTCTTTTAAATTTAAGATAGCAAGATCCAGCAAATGCGAATGCATTGTGTTTATTATTTTTCTTGTAATTATTCTATTCCATTTGCTTTTGTTTTAGCATATAACAAAGTATGCTTTCAGGGATAAATGCATTTTTTAATATCATATTGATATATTACTCGCTATGTATTTCCCCATTGTTTATTTTCTGCATTGATATAATGAAGAAATTCTAAGCGTGATGCATCTTGAATCATATCGCATGATTCCCTGTTTAGTAACTATTTTTATATTTTCAATGTTGCTTGTTTTCTTACTTTTATAGATACGTTCTGAAAACATTTGCAATCAGCTTTTTTTTTTTAATGCGACATACAGGATGCGTTTTGATTTTGGGTGGTATAGATGGTTGAATATGAGTTACTATTGATTGCTTTGCATCCAGACTATATAATTTTCCAATTAATTTATAAAAGGATAAAAATCACATATGTAAAGGGGAAAAATAGCCATTTTTTCGTGCTTACGTTGCGGATATATGTACGAATTTGTAGTGTCAAGCAATTACGTCCGTAAGCTGACCATGCGCATGGATTATTGTCCAAAGTGTGATCGAACGAGAACCTTCCGGTTCATGAGTTTTGGTGGAATGGTAGGTCAAATGCCTTTTAAGCCAGCGGATGTGCCAAGACCGTCGTATGCTACCCTTTACTGGAGAAAAAAGGTAAATGGTAAAACTGCAAACCTTCCCCTCGACGAAGTGTGCCGACGAGATCAGTTTTAGTCTTTTTGAACTTTGGAATATCCGTAACTGAATGGATGACTATTTTATACTGGATTCGCTAACGAGGTGAAGAAAACCGATATAATAGGATATCAGCATTGATCACATTATTCAGATATACTTCTGTGGACTGTTTGAGTTTCAGGTTGACAAGTACCTTTGTCTGTTCATCAACATCTTACATGTCAAGATAGTAAGAGCATGCATGAGTAAATGCAATGGCAACAACTTATGAAACGAGTCCTAGACAGTTCAGTTTCAGAAGAAGTTA